CGGTGCGATTGGCTGGGACTCAGAGGCTGACATTCAGCTTGAATTTTGAATTTTCGATTGATTGACGGCTTGTGTACGTTCGTCCGTGTAGGCCGATCGATAGCCTGCTTTGAGTGCGGCTATTGCTTGCAAGCTAAGTGCTTGCTAAGGCTGTTCGTTAGGCCGTCATAACAATATGAATGAAGGCAATCTGTCCGCTTTTTATAAGTTCATTTCTAAGCTTTTTTGTGAGACAAATGAGTTTGGAGGGGCACGAAGAACCCCACCATTCCTCCCCAAAATGTTGATAAAAAGCTACTTTCCGAGAACATGAATGCGTAAACTTGGTGTAAATCCTTCCGAACCAAACGTTTTCATGCTGGCTATGAAATTTGATATCAATAGTTTATCGGAACGCCATCAGCTACAGCCGAATAACCGTGTTATATCCAAAAGTTGCAGTCAAGAGTATCCAAAGGCGTTATAACTTACCATACTGATAAAGCAGCTACTAGCCAAAAACTTTTTAGCTAGTACCTACGCTGTCAGAATGCTAAAACATTACGTATTTGGATGATAAATTGTCATCCACACATGCTGGTGTCACATGCATGATGAATTCGAGCAGCGGTTTCAGCTGGTAGCAGCGTTGGCGGTTAGAAAAAAACTCAAGAAAACAGGCTTTTCCTAGCTCTGCCAACAGCAAGATAGTCTTCGATTTCTTGGCTATCATCACCTCTTTACTAACTTCCCACAAAAGGCCACACAGATTGCTCAAGCAGAATATACTTAATGCAGTCTCAGCAATAAATACTTCTTCTAACAGGAAATGGGATTTGTAAGGAGATAGAGAGAACGTCCGCTGCCCGACATTTTCTTCCTCGTGACATCTTAGCCGACGCATTGCATCTCGCGGGTTTTTCTACCGCGACCCGCAGCAAATCCACTACTATTGCTTTATTGACCCAAAGCAACCATTCTTTTCTCGCTTGCTCCTACGCATTACTGACTACTGTGGATTCTTGAGGGGGTCATAACAACTCTTGGCATGCCACTTCATTAATTTATGAGCCCAAAAGTATAACCGTGGGAGTTGGCAGCAGTAGTTACTGGTTTCCTGTAGGGAGGCGCTCTGTAAACCTTT